CGGCCTTAAGAATGTGCCTTACTATTATCTAGTTATAGATAGCTAGATAAAAGAAATCGGGCCATTGATTAATTTCTTTTGGGTGATTGTGCTATCTCTCATATCCCATGATTTTTCTCTATTTCATAAACCCGAATCTCGCTCCCTCATTAGCGTCGTTTCTAGAATACTGACTATGAGATAATCCATGTTCCCTACCTTAAGCGGTTGCCTTGAGATATAATTATACTTACGCCTAGATCTAGATATTCGCTCTTTGTGCCAGAATTGTTGGTTAAATAGGATCAACTCGCTAGACTTCTTGTCCTTGTGGTGAGGCTTTTGCTAGAATGGGTTCCGGATTTGAAGGGCAAAAGCTTAGCCTACAGGTTAATTTTGGATGAAAACAGGCTCCATGGTTGTGTATCTTAAGGTGATTCGCTAACTATGGATATCCAAACTCTGCCTTTCAAATGGGACCGAAGCTGCTAATAAATAAATAAAAATTCAGTTTTAGTAATAGGTAAAGCAAGGTATGTGTGAAATAAAGCTCTTAATTAATTAAGTATTAGTTTAACTGGGCTGAAAATGACGGTCTGCATTGGTGCATTAATAGATTTATGATCCATTGTTCAATCTCCAATAGCAATAAATTCTGCGGCAAGGCTGTCGGCATAGCTAAAAACATTTCAGACTTTACGAAAAAAACTGTCTATAATTTTTAAAGATATTTTACTTTAGCATCAGCTTCTATAAATAAGAACCATTTACTGGAGTATTAGCCCTAAAAATACAGGAAAAGTTAGATGACAAATAACGCCAAACTCAGGAAAATGAAGGCGAATAGTACATAAATGAAGATACATTAGCAAGGATATAATATTAAAGGGTTTTGATGCAAGGATTCATATAATAAACATAGGAAATGCATTAAAAAAATAGAAAAAAGATATAAGAAGTCTTTCCTGAGTCTATGTACAAATGAGAAGCTTGTGGCTTCAGAAAGAATAAGTCAGCGCCGTAGCCTTCTCAAGTTTACAGATCCAGCTGACTTGCCAGATCGTAGAAGTAAACTTCGCCGAGTCTTCGGCGGACTAAGTCTGATGGAGCTTAGGCCAGAGTTACGCAACTGGCCATGCTTTCGATCACCCAGTCGGGCAGCTTCTGACCGATCCGAGAAAGATCCTTTCTTCCACAAAGTTGATCTCGGTCTTTTGGGCAAAGACGATAAAGCCCCAGAAATGGAGGAAAGCGATGATGTAGCATCACCTACCTGTTTCAATGTGTGTTCCATCGAATCCTGACAAGATCGTGAATTTGCAAAAGAATTTTTGTCTGAGACTCTACACCTAGTCTGACCTCTCCTGCTTGGCCGGTTACTGACAGTACTGCTACAAACGCTACTAGCCTCTGAAGCCTCTTCACCATCAACGCGGTGCTCTTTATCTACCTCATCTTCGTCATTCACATCATCCTCAGTTTCGTCTTCCAATTCATCTTCTTCTTCCTCTTCACTACCGTCATCATCCTCTTCATCGTCACTGAGGTCCAGATTGGCCAACCTGACCAGCTGTTTTTCCGCTTCAGTGAGGCGATTGTAAGCATTCATACGATGTCGCGCCATCGGTAGCTTCGAGAGTAAGAAAGAGGCCTGACGGGCTAGAAGAAGTGTAGTCTTGAGACTAGCGGTCAAGCTAGAGGAGGTATATACGTGATCATGGGAAAAATCAGCCTGCAGGTAAACAAGAGGGATCGTAATAATGCGTTAAGCATGATATATCGACTGAAAAATGGTTCCTATCGATATACAGGTTATAGACTAAGAGAAAAGATTTGGTATAATAAACATCAAAGTTATATCTTAATACAACCACAAAATAAAGGTTCAACTTATAGACGGTCAAGAAAGGTGATTTTTGGTGCCAAAAGAAACATAATTAGCTATTTGATTACCTGTAAAAATATTTGCTTTTGGAGATGACTTGGTCATTAAATGAGGTTCACAAATGAATAGCCGAGTAAGCATAGTTGAGAAAAAATAAGATCAAACCTATAACTTAAAGGCAGTAGCTATAGCTTCCAATATGTACTGAATTGATAAACTTTTCTAGAATAAAATTAAAGGAAATATTAACAAGAGATATATTGTATGAAAAAGGGCTCGAAGATTCTTTTAAACAGAGAAATTGCGGCCTTTTAACACTAATGACGCAAAATAAATTGGATCGTAAAATGAGAAAAGTAGGTTCATGGCTCTTGTAAGTATAGAGAACCAAAAAAACAAATACAAGAAACCAAAACCATAGTTCGGTGTGAACCATGGAAATAAGAGGGTTACCAAGATAGGCTGTTTACATGAATCTAGGATGTTATATCTAGGCATATTTCTTTGTGGTAATGTATTAAAAATCTACGTAAGCATTTTTGATGACGGATTCCTTAATTTAAGGTGAAAACAAGCCCTTATTATGACCTCTTTCACATTCGAGCTAGTGTTGAATCAAGAAAACTAAGTGATTCACATCTCTGCTTCCTATGTGGGCCAGATTGATCTTGTTTTCGCGACTTATTCATGTTGACAACACAAAAAGTCGAACAACTGCCATATAAAAAGTGGAACATGGCCAAAATGGAGGCTATACCTAGGTCTTTATGCCTTCGAGTAAGTAAGTTTAATCCAATAATCGCAATTTGGTCATAATATCCAAGACCTCGGATTAGCCGTGTAGTGCTCACTTATGTGTTTAACTAAGTGAGGCAAAAATAGATTAATTTGAAATATTGGTACAAGTTATAGCCAAAATTTCATCATCTTATATCTCCTTAATTTATCCCAGGTTTTTTAAAATTAAGTACGCTTCCAAGTACGCTTGAAAAAGGATTAAATTCAAAAGACTGAATAACAAGAATACCTACTAATTTGTGCAAGGTATTACAATCAAGAGGGATGATGTAAACTCCTGTTTCTTTTGCCAGTTCGAGGCGCCAATCCGGCTCAGCCTCTGAATCGTTGCCCTCCGAGGAAATTCCATTCTGCAGTGGGCATACTGGATAAGAGTCAGCCTTAAAAGTCATATTTTCTGAAAATATCGCCTGGGGTGAGCCCCGCTCCAAGAAGCTGATTAAATACAAAAGAGGCGGATCGATAGCATGTGAACACGTCGTGGTGGAAGATGGACACTTGGGCGGACTAAAAATAGCGGAGACGAGACGATCATGGACCTTAGCCACGAGGGTCTTGATACGCGAGTGATCCGCATCAGCATTTGCTGCTGGAACACCGATTGGCCACCAGGATTCCAGAGGTATACCGAAGATTTGAGTTTGAATAACAGGGATATCCGATCCCTGCTTGCAGAGAACGAAGTTGATTGATAGAAAGATATAGACGTAAGAAAAAATGAAAATAACCAGATAAAATAGTATTTTTTCTGCAAGTAAAGTAGACTTATGATTGGAATACATGTTTAAGGCCGAGGCAATACCTATTGAGTGCCCAAACATAGGAGCAAAAATCAACTTTGAAGCCCGTTAAATTGAAAGAAATAAAATGAGCTAAAATAAGAAAAAAATTAATGAGATAGGAAAGATAGAGCTAAAAATAAAATTAATCTATGAGCATTCTTTTACCCCAGATGGTGAAAAGAAATGAGGGGCACATGTGGCCTTCCTGGGTCATAAAAACTCTAATTTACATTATATTTCCAACCACAGTCTAGTAAATTTTAGGTCTATTAAAAAGGTATTATGCATTCAATAAAACCTTAAAGAATGAATAATTCCGACGATTTTTAGATTAATCATCATAGGTAGCATCATCAAGAAGCATTATGCATATATTGATCTTGGCCATTTCTGTATATATAGTAAAGAGCATGAATGGATACTCGCTAGCAAGCAAATTCTAAAATGCACACTTACCTGCGTAGTAACTTCCTGCATCATATGGCAAAAGCCTCTTTCTTCTCTGGTCTCAGGAAGCAGGCCAAAACAGACAGGAGAAACCGGCAGATCAGAGTCGGGAAGATCGCCCCCTTCCGAAATATTTGGGATACGATGACGCCACCAAGGTCTGGCGTATGCCAGCATGACCGTAATTAAACGCACAGCTTTGAGCTTCTCCAAAGCATATGATTCAGTAGCTCTTTCGGCTAACGAAATGTAGGAATTGGAATCTGGGGCAAAAGACTGGCTTTTTAACGAAATAGGTCGATTCACAGGCTTCGAGAAATCTTGCATTTTTGTTCTGTGATGGAACTGCAAGTGGTCTGGCAAAACAAGGTACACACAAGGAGAACGAGGTCCGTTAGGTGTTGTCGTCCCACTTCGCCAATTATCAAGCATTTCTTGAGCTGTCTGACGCGGGTGAGCGGAGTAAGAGACCTCAAGTTGGTTAGATGGGGAGTTGATGATTACCTGTTTGTGGAAGGAAATACAGGGAATCATGTAAATGAATAAGAGCTATTCTCGGCGATTAAAAAAGCCTCACAAAATTCAATGTTTCATGGTTCTCTATCCAAGAGCCCAAAAAAATAAGTGGCAGTAAAGTACAGTCAACCTTCTAGAGATATCAAAGATTACTTATATCTGCAAAAGGCTGACGTAGTCGTCATGGGGAAAATGCCGTATTAGATTAGATAGTAGTAACATTAAACCAATAACACTCGTGAAGATAAAGATAAACTCGCCAAAGATAAATTTAAGAGAATTTATTTAATTTTTCTTAGCCATACCTCTAATTTAAGATGGAGCGTAACCTCAACCTCAACTAAGTCATTAAGGTCTCAATCAATTATATGGGATGTATTCACCTTATTTCATTAAAGGTGAATGACTGGTAGTTGAATTTTCCCGCAATCATATGAGCAAAGCTGATGTTTCCACTGAGTTTCACGTAACCTTGCTTTCCCAAAGGATGTTATCATCGAGGAATGGACAGCATTTTCAGCCATGAGGAAAGTGGGGGGCGGGGAGTTTCGGCAATCAAGCGAAGACGTTGTCAGTGTGTGACGTCCGTTTCGA